TTTGTTGTTATTGTTGTTAGATACTCTTGAGTCCACTCCAAGTCATAGTGACCCTACAAATAATATATTGAAACCTTGCCCTACCCAGCACCATCCTCACTGAGTCTCTGTTACAGTCACTGTGTCAATCCATTTGATTGAAGGTCTTCTTTTTCATAGACTTTCTACCTTTCCAAGCATAAGGTCTTTTTCCAAATACTGACTTCTTCTGACAACATCTTTGCAGTCTGAACTCATCCTGTGCCTTCTTTCTTTATAACTGTTGAGTTTTTGTTGAATGTTTACACATAAATTAAGTTCCCATTTGACAATTTCAACAATTGTTAGGTGCCATTAGTTATATTTATCACAATGTGACAGCATTTTCTGTACTTATGTTCACTTTGTTACTTTTTCAGGAATCTAGTTTTATTGCCTAATCTCCTCATTTTAGCTTTTGAGTAACTGTAATGACTCTGTATACTCTTTCCATCTTCTTTTAATGCTTCCTAGATCGTTTACAATATGGACTTCTGTGTATATGTTATACTGATTCTGCTCTCTGCTTTTATCCTTTGGAGACTGAGAGATTTCCTAAAAAGATAATGCTAACAAGGGTAGAACTTTTTAGTTGTAGCTTAGTTATGTTTAAAACTCCTACTTGTAAATCTTGCTTCTTTGGCATATCAAAATGTATTTTGTGAGGTACTAAGGATACTGATCCTGCAGTCCACAAAATATTATAGTGCATTTTAGCACTGCACAGATCCTCAGGGTGTCTCTGAGCAGCAGGCTACTCCAGAATAAGACCAGTGGAGGACTGGAGTTTGCTCCTCATCTTCATTTCAGAAAAGACAAATTTCTTTCCTTTTCTTTTCAACTCCTGGATTTAGCAAGAGCTCAGAATAAATATCCATTTCCTTTTTAAAATTGGACTCTGACCTGAAGCTATTCAAGAAGGTTACTAAACAGTCAAAAATGTAACTCCTTCTTTTACTCATTCATTCATCAAATCATTGAGTATTTCTTAGACATCATCTGTAAGCTTAGTCTCTCATACTATAGGAATATAAAACAGAAATTTGTTACCTCCCTCACAGTGTGTTTATTTTGGGTGACTGGTGTTAAGTTTGGGCAAAGAAGAGAAGAATGAAGAATTGAGAACTCAAATGCTGCTGGCTTTTCCTGCTGCTGATAAGAAGAGCAAACAGCCTTGCTTCTCTGGCTGAGCTAGCAGGTGGCTTGTAAATCAGAATGGAATGTCCCTCCCTAAAAACTCTGTTTATAAAAGTCCTCCCCAGTAAGTTCACAATGTGACTGACTTCCCATTCTGCCTCTCCAGGATGAGGAACTCACCCAGGGGCTCCCCTTCCCCTCTTTAATAAAGCTGCATTAAACTTTCTCTCATTCTCTCTGATTTCTTCTTTAAGTCCGCTAACCTAACATCTGGATTCAGATTAATGGGAAAGAGATTTGCTTGTTAATAAATCTTGAAGATGTCAATTACATTTTTTTCTAAGAGTTGAACTCATAATGCACATAAAATTCTATATTATTTTTTATTATTTTCTTCTAAACTTATGTCTCCATAAGTAAAATTTTAGAAATTTTAAAAATTCTCCATAAACACAATTTTAGATAATTTAACCATTTTAAGCCTCACAATTTGACTAGTGCTGTAGTTATTATTAGTTGCCATTGAATCTACTCCAATTCCTAGCAATCCTATGTATAACAAAATGAAATGTGGCCCAATCCTGCACCATCCTCACAATCTCTGCTGTGAGAAGAATGTTGCAGTCATTGTGTAAATTCATCACACAGAGGGTCCCCATCTCAATTCTTTACCCTCTACTTCCCAAGAATAATATCCTTGTCAAGGAATTGGTCTCTCCTTATAACATGCCCCACCTATTTAACACAAAATCTCACCACTGGTTTCTAAAGAATACTGGAGCACTCTGGCTGTGTATCTCCCATGCCAGATTCAATTGCTTTTTTTTGCAAGACTATGATGCTAAACACTGTGACATTGATGTGTCAAATGCAATAATGGTCACCCATGGTAGACAGTGTTTGCTGGAGCTCCCTGATTAAAACAGGCTTGAAAGCTGGAGTGACATCCACTTCTGAAATAGCTTGCCTCCAGAAACTCTATGAACTTGGAGAAATGAAAGTTATACAAGTGTTCAGGTCTTCCGTTCATAGGGTCACTATGAGTCATCTACAACTCAATGGCACTTAACAATATCAACAACATGGTATAGCCAATATTCTTTACCAATTCCACAACTGAAAGACATCAGTTCTTTGGTTTTTGTTACACATTGTTCAGCTTTCACATGCATATGAAGCAGTTGAAAACACTATGGTTTGGGTCAGGCACACCTTAGTAAAGTGGCATCCTTACTCTCAAACACTTTAAAAAGGCAGCAGATTTTCCCAATTCAATACATTGGTTTCTTGATTGCAGCTTCCATGGAGGTTGATTGTGGGTACAAGCAAAATGAACTCATTGGCAACTTCAATCTTTTCTGTTTATCAGAATGGTAGTGAGCCCTGGTGGCCCACAGGAGAAAGTTGGACATCTCTTTTCATGTGTTTTACAGCTTTGGAAATCAGAATCATCAATGAGTTGGATCCAACTAAAAAATAATTCATTTGAGTGAAAATCGTGATATTGTTTATTGGTTCAGTTGAAAGGATTTTTGTTTTCTTTATGTTAAGATATAACCATACTGAACACTATAGTCTTTGATCTTCTTCAGTTAGTGCTTCAAATCCTCTTCACTTTCAGAAAGCAAAGTTCATCAGCATATTGCAAGTTGTTGATGAGTCTTCCTCCAATCCAATGCTACATTCTTCTTCATATATGGAAGCTTCTCAGATTATTTGCTCAGCATACAGGTTGAATAGAGACAGTGAAAAGAAACAATGCTGAAGTGAATATTTCCTGATTTTAAACCATATTTGATCAATAATTTCTAATAAAAGCTTTCCTGTTTATTGAATCTTGCATCTACACTAATAGGTTAATAATCTGAAGTGTCACTTGCTACATACTACTATGCTGTACTTTATCCACTGGATAAAACAGCAAATATTAAATACTTCATGGAAAGTTGGAAGTGTATGACCTCAAGGTTCAAGCACTTTTTCATCTTCATTATTGTGAATGGTAAAGTCTCTGGAGTTGATTGCCTGGGTTTTAATTCTGGCTTCATCCCTTAGTAGTTTGGCATTTCTGTGTAGATAGTTAACCTTTTTGTGCCTTCATTTTCTCATAAATAGTATAAAGAATGTTTAAAATTCTATTTACTAGGATGTTATGAGATACACCAAGTAAAGTTCATTGTCCAATGCTTAAAATATAGTAATTGCTTAATAAATATCAAGCCTTTTAATCTAATTACAAAGGATAAATAGTGAACTTAACACCAGGAGGGAGTCACGACATTAATTCAACCCCATGATTATCTAAATCTAAAGCTCCTTCTAGCACTCCCTCTACTGCTATGACTCAAAAGCAGGGACTGAGTTAAGTAGGAGGAAGAGTGACAGTAGGGGGTAGGTGGAAGAGAGAACTTGAATAACCACAGAACTGGGGGAAGACTGGGAATCAAAAGAGACACAGTTGGGGAAGGCTGGACAGGTGATGAGAGTACGTGCATATCGTTACATAACCAGCTCCCTCCCTTGGCTCATTATTTATAGAAGGACAAATAAAACTCTAGCCCTGTGGGTTGTATAAATGAGTCAACTGACACTGGAAAGCACAAGGGAAAGGGGTACTAGATTTAAGAATACAGATGAGTAAGGGAGACAGACAAAACAAAAATCAGGTGGTCCCTTGGAGAATTAGATTTCCAAGGAATTCTTGAAATATTTTTTATGTTTTAACTTTTAGGATGTGAACATTGGCTTAGAAATTATTATAGAGGAAATGATTCTAAAGAAGACAGGGAGGAATAATTGAAAATTGTTATTGTTGTTGTGTACTGTTGAGTCAGAACCGACCCATAGCTGACCCTCCAACAGGTTTTCAGAGTCAGTTAACTGCAGGTGAGGAGATTGAATTGCCCTTCCTTCTCCCATGGAGTAGCTTGTGGCCTCGAAGTGCGTGCCTTCCAGATTGCAGCACAGTTTCTTGCCACTCGGCTACCAGAGCTCCATAATTGAAGAGTATGTGTCCAACTTTCTTGTCCTTTCTCATATGAGCATCAAAACTCTGTGGATGCTGGTTCTCTTTCAAACTTTCTTCCCTTGCTTTTCTTCTTCCTTGAGTGGGTGAGCCTGCTCAATATTTGCCTAGTAGAACTCTTACCATATTTTACTAAAATGATTTCTTTGTCTCCTTTTATCCACAAGACTGAAAGCTCAAGAAATGTTTGTAGAGTAAATGAATGACTAAGTAATCCTCTGGTTTCTCACCCTACAAAAGAAGAAAACAAGTCTCAGAGGGCTTGAGTTCCTTGAGTCCAGATTCAATGCTCTGTTCACCAAGAGCAGTGCCTCCAGGTCAGGACTGACTAGTGGATCAAGCCTGGGGAACATTTTGGAGGCAGCTGATATAGGCAGTTTTAGGATCAGAGAGTTCTAAACCCAACTCAAATTCTCAGTAGCTGTTTTACTCTGGTAATTTATCTTTCTAATCTTCAGTTTCTTATCTTGGAAATCATGATAATACTAAGCCAACATACCTTCTGGACCTTTAATAAGCAAGTGTGAAGACTTCACAGTCAGAAATCATGTTTGCTGTAGCTGTAACCTTGTCCCAGCAGATAGCATCCTGCTGGCACACAGTAGGTGCTCATTAAGTTATTTGTTGAGGAGGCTGAAGAGGTGATAGTGGATGTGTACACTAGTTAGCTATTAAAATTATCTTCTACAGTCTCTCCAGTTGAATCTTCCACTGCCAGCTAATCCTAGTGGCTCATTACCAAGTTTTAACACTTGGGCAGGGATATTCAGGGGCATTCAGACACAGAAAAGTCAGACAGTGATCCAGAGTTCACTGCATCATGAGTATCTCTGTGAATATATCCACTGGATTCCTGGGCACTATCTCTGAGCTCCTCCAGGTTGTCTTTCTGCTCAGCCTAGTTCTACTGCTGCTCAAGGCAGCTCAGTTCTACCTGGACAGGCAGTGGCTACTCAAAGCTTTGCAACAATTCCCATCACCCCCCTCCCACTGGCTCTTTGGGCACAAGCATGAGGTAAGAGGGAAGTGAAGGGGGCACTGGGTAGGGGAATGAGGGCTGGGATGGAGATCAGGGTCAGTAAGTTGTTGGACAAAGACTTATGATATGAACTTGAACCTACCTCTCCATGTAACCCAGACTATCTCTCAGGTGTTGGATCTTTACTCCCAGTTTACTGCCTTACAAGACGCCTAGCCTAGCCTTGCTCAGCTCCTTTAAATACTCCTTCCTGTGTAGATCTGAATTCCACCTTGACTACTCCGCAGAGCTGGAAAATGATGGTCCTTCCTTCTTGAGTATCTTCTCCAGGTTAAGCTTTCCCAGTGGTCTCAAGTGTCTTTAGATGTTTCCCCGTTCTATTTAATCAATTTTGTATCTCAGTTACCTAGTGGTGCTCTAATAACAGATACTAAAAGTGAGTGGCTTTGAAAAAACAGGAATTTATTGTATTATAAATTTGGAGGCTAGGAGTTTGAAATCAGGTTATTGACAGATTTAGACACTCTCTCACCTGTCTCTGTCTGTTTCTCTTTGTGTGTATGTGTCTGTGTGGAGAAGTTCCTTGTCTTTTTTAGACTCTGTAGCTCCTGGGGTTTCTTGATACTCCTTGACTGCTTGCAGCTGTATCATCACCTTACATCTGTTTGTTCTTCCTTCTCCCACTTGGTAGTGTTGTTATGATGAATAACTTCATAAAAAATCTTCAAAGTCAGAGGCTGACTTTGCTGGAGAAGGGTGAGAGTGAGTGATCAATTAGTTTAGGAATCAATTATTTGGCTATAATTCGGGAGTTTTCTGGATCATGGAGTTTCAGTACTAAAATTGGGGCAATTCCATACTTGTCTCTGGGACAGCTGCTAGGTAAAGGTTAGTGACTTTCGAGGTACACTATAAATAAAGATCTGTTTACTGGCCATTCTCTTTTCCTCTTCCATGGCCTTGAGCTGTGAGTACACTGGACTTTTCCCTTTACTTCAATAACCATCACAGAGGCCACCTCAGAGTGCATGCTCAGTATAGAAGTGTAGAATGTTAAGAGATACAGAAACAGTTTTATAGTTGAGTGGGAGACAGTATCTCTCTATCTCAGTACTAGAAGCCTCGATTCCTGAGGGATGATAGTTAACATAGCAAGGAGAGTGGCTCACAAAGGAATGCTGTGGTGAAGAGGAGGAAATAGGGATTTCAGAGAACTAAGGCCTCTTTTATCTACAAAAGAGGAAACCAGACTATAAACAGAGTGAAGTCAAAGACAAGAACTTTCAAACTGAAGAACAGAATATTAACTCAGAACCAATTTGTTCATACAAATTATGTTGCTAATAACTTGCAGATTATATGAAGAATTTTGGATTCTATGACTTCTTTTTTTTCTTGGTCACAGTGGTTGGCCTTCCTGAACTTCAGGGAATGAGCTCATATTCTCTCTGCCAGTTATGGATTGAACTGTGTCCTTCCAAAATATGTGTTTTAAATCTTAGCTGTTATATCTATGGAAAAGATCTGGTCTTTTCAATTGTTTACTATACATTTGAGAGCTGGATAATTAATTACTAAGGATGACAGAACAAGAGTTGATGCCTTTGTACTCTGGTGTTAGAGTACAGAATAATGCATGGACTGCTGAAACAGCAAGCAAATATATCTTGGAGAAGGTACATCCAGAGTGTTTCTTGGAGGCAAAAATAACAAAGCTTCATCTCACATACTTTGGGCATATTTCTAGGAAAGGCTATTCCTTAGAGAGGAACATCATGTCTGGAAAGGAACATCATGTCAGGAAAAGAGAGGAAAACTTTCAACTATGTGAATTGACACAGTGACTGCAGCAATGGGCTCAAGGATTTCAGAGATTGTGAAGATGGCATACGATAAGATAAAGTTCAGATGTGTTGTTCGTAGAGTTGCTCTGGGTAATATTTGACTTGATGACACATAACAACGACAACATATCTGTAGTAAAAAGGCCTGGTGGTACAGGAGCTAAATTGGAGAAAATGACAGAACTCTTCTCAAGTTTTTTTAATCTTTGACATTAATACTTGGTTCATAAATTTGAATAATAATGATATTAACTAGTCCTCCATATCATACTCTCTTAAATGTATTGCCAATTGATAGAAATTGACTCTTATCTGGCCTTCCAGCAGATTTTCAGAAGCTGTAAACAGTGGCAGAAGATTGCCCACCTTTCTCTCTTGGAGAGATGCACCAACTTTAAGTGAGAATTGCAACCCCCTATGGACTGTGACATCAGAACATCCTAGTCCTCCTTATCACCATATCAACATTGTTTTTTTACTAACGATGTGCTTCAAGATAGATCTTGAAATGTTCTCTTTGATGAGGAATGTGATACTAAGGGTATTCAATCTGTCATTTCATACATAGTAGGCCACATGTTGTTGTTATGTGTCATCAAGTCACCTGTGACTCATAATGACCATTAGCTCTGAACCCTGCCCTATCCTGAGCCAATCTCATAGTCTCCAACAGAGCTAATTCCATTTCTGCAGTTGCTGAGTCAATCCATTTCATCCCATGTCTTCCTTTTCTATGCTATTCCTGCACCTTTCCACGCATGATGTCCTTCTCCAAGGACTGGTCACTCCTGGTTATGTGCCCCAAGTATGTGAGATGAAGCTTTGTTATTTTTGCTTCCAAGAAGCAGTCTGGTTTCATCTTCTTCAGGACAGACCTGTTTGTTCTCCTAACAGCCCATGGTATGTTCAGCACTCTTCTTCAGTAGTGTTTACAACTCAAATAAATCAATTCTTTATCTATCATCCTTACTTATTGTTCAGATCTCTGATGCATAGCAAGTAATTGCGAAGACCATGGCCTGGATCAGGTGCACCCTAGTCCCCAGACTGGCATCATTGCTCTTCAGTACTCTACAGAGGTCCTTGACAGCAGAATTTCCTAATGCAATTAATCTTTTGATTTCCTGACTGTTGGTGTCAAGAGTGTTGATTGTGGAACAAAACAAGTTGAAATTGTTAACAACCTCAATCTTTCTTCCATCTATCATGGGTCTGCCAACTGGCCCAGTGGTCTTCTTGATTTGAGCTTCAATCTATATTGAAGATTATAGTCCTTGAACTTCTGCAGCAAACGTCTCATGTCCTTCTCCGTTTCAGCAAGTAAGGTAGTATTATCTGTGTAACACAGTCTGCTAATGAGTCTTCCCCCAACCCTGGTGCCATATCCCACCTCATAAAGTCTAACCTCCCAAATGATTTATTCAGTGTATAGATTGAAAAGGTATAGACATAGGATGCATCCTTTATGCACACCTTTCCTGATCCTGAACCACGCAGTTACATACATATTGTTGTCCAATTAAAACGGCACTGTCAGTCCATTGCCGCTCACCTTGGATAGGGAGCTCTGATTGCCTAGTGATAAGGAGTTTCACTGCCAACCTGAAGGTCAAATCTACAGTTCAAATCCACCAGCTGCTCCATGGGAGAAAGATGAGCAATCTCTTCCCATGAGATTTACTGCCTCTGAAAACCCACTGAAGCTGTAAATTGATTTCAAAGCAATATTATACTACAAGAGCAACATATTCCATTTCATTCTTGTTTATATCCAGTTTTCCTAAGTTATACTACTATACATTCTTCATTCTCATTATTAACGGCTGCTTGTGGTTGTTTTTTCTTATTTTGAGTCATGCCACAACAGTAAATGAAGGTCCCACAATGTTTAATACACTTGCATAATTAAGGTAAATTCTGCTTTAATGAGGCAGCTCTTCTCCAATCATATTTTCTATGCCATTCAGCCTGAAGGCCTCATCTTTCTATGCTATATTAGACAGTGTTCTGTTGATGACTGGCCAGGTTTACATTGGTCAATTTTTCAGAAGTTAAATTTCAAGTTCTTCCTTCCTAGTCTTAATCTGGAAGCAGGTTACCCTGCTGGTATTTGAAATATTAGGATCATAGCTTTCAGTATCAAAGCACCACACAATCTATCACAGTACAACAAACTGAGAGATGAACAGAAGGGCGGAAAGACAGAATACATGTGCATCCACTGGAATCTTTGCAGGGAGTCAGTGACAATGATCAGGAGATAGGAATTAAAGCATTTTACTGGCTTGGACACTAAAAAACTAAAAAAGGAGGCACTCTGCAAGGCTGCAAAAGGCACATGATGGTTCCTTTAGGATCAATCAATGTAGTTGGAGTGGTAAAAGATTCCCACTATCCTTTCCTGCACTGGAGCATAGGAGAACGGCAGCACCCCGAATGGATACAAGGCAGCACAGAGCATTCTTACTCTGCTTTTAGTTTAAGGCAGAAGTGTGTACCTCCTCTCCTAGAACATGAGTTTCCTAACACCAAGAGCTTTACTGTAGTGCTGAGTTCCCAGCTCATAGGATGACACTGAAACAAAAAGGAAGTGCTTAATAAATAATTAATGAATGAATATCTTTTACATAGTTCACTCATTCACTCAAATGGCAATATATTGGGATATCTGTCAAGAAACATTCTCTGAAATGTCTTTCTTTTGAGAATAGTAAACTTTTGATTTCCTTCTTTAATTCCATCCTACATTTGATTATATTCAGAAGACCTCCCACTCAAACTTCTTCAAGCAGATTCTCAGAATAAGATTCAGTAGGGCCACAACATTTGGTAGAAGGGTAATGTGTCAAGGTTAAAGTGTCAACACAGGAATGGTACAGCTCTCGTTCTCCACCACATGAGGATAAGGATTGATGTCTGTATCCCATGGCTGTATCCCAGAACTCTAGTAAAGTGTTTGTTGTTGTTAAGTGCCTTTGAGTTGAGTACGACTCACAGTGACCCCATTCACTTTGCTAATTATTATATTCCTTTTTTTCTCCCTGATTGTCACTCTCATTCTTCCTTTCCCTCTCCTGCCTTCCTTTCTCTCTTCTTGCTTCTCTCCATCTACTATTCCAATCTTTCTTTTCCTTTTCCTTCCCTCTTTCCTTTTTTCCTCTTGTTTGCCTCCCTCTTGTCATCTCTCCTTCACTCCCTTCTATCCTTCCCTCTTGCATTCATTGTTTCCTTTAAATAAAATAATATTTCCTATGATTTAGTCTCTATCCTAGACTTTTAGGAAACAGAAATGACAGGCATTCAAAGTGAAATTGTCAGCACAGTGTCCAACAATTAAGATAAATATGATAGGGACTCCAAAAGGCTAAGGGAACTCAGGAGATGGACACCTTGAGTTCAGTATTATATGGTTGAAATCCAGGATACCAGGGTATACCACCGTGAAAAGAGCAAAGGAAGTATGAGGACAGCTAAGTTTGACCCCTACTTACTATTCCACAAAAGGGAAATGTCCCTACCAAAAGTACCTACAACACAAAATAAATTCCCATGAGGTCAGATATAGCCCCCTCCCATGCTTCCACACCACTTTAACTCCAACTGCTCTACCATTCTATTGGGTTCAAATTCCATTGCAATAGCTACACAGACCTCACAAAACTATACTCACAATTATGGAGTTTACAAAAGAAATTAACAGGTTGCAACTTAAGTTGGAAACAGGATACAATTTCTCAGCCAGGACAGCCTGTGATGTGTGCTCACAGGCTCCTCAGTCTTGCAGCTTTTGGATAGTGTTACAAAGCTCTCTTAGTCCTGTCAATGAAAGCATTTTCTCCTATCCTCCCATTTCGCCCCCAGTCCTCCAGCAAACCAGGGTAAAGACCTCTGAATCTGACTTCATGAGTAGCAGTTCTAGGTCAGTTTTCACTCACACTGGATCTCTGGTTCTCTGCTGCAGCTGCTGCTAGTCTCCTGTAGGTCCTGGTCTGAATCACAAAGGAATCTCTGGTCTTGAAGGATGCACGCTTCATTCTCTGCTTCTTTTTTCTTGCTAGTAGTGAGATGCCCAAATTTCCACTGATAAATCTGGTGGAATGGTGAAACTAGCCAATCTCCTTGAGGGTAGACTAACGTACTCTATTCATGTTCCTGCCCAGTCATGTGGTAAAGCCAAGGACAAAGACCTCCGAAAGCCATTTTGAACAATAAGCTCACTGCACTGCAACTGTTGATTTTGGTTTCCTCATTTTTTTGTAAAACAGAACAAAGGAAGGAGGGGGGAAATCACCTATTTATGCCTTATGTTTATACCTATTTACACCTTAATATGCCTTATTTCCTTGTTTAGAGATTCTCCCCTCTTCACACCCCAATCTTAGTTTTATGGATATACTTTATATTAGCAGTAATGATGTAGGGAGTTCTGGTAGCCTAGTGGTAAGAAGCCAAGCTGCAATCCCCAAAGCATGCAGTTCAAGCCCACCAGCTGTTGCACAGGAGAAGGATGGGCAATCTCTTCCCATGAAATTTACTGTCTCTGAAAACCTGTTTTGAGGGTGAGCTATGAAAAACAAAATTCCCAAACAGAACAAAGCAATAATCCCTCCAAAACAACAGATTTGCTATAAGCATAACAAAATGTCAATCTATAAAAAGATTTTGAACAGTGACACAGTCAATACTTGAACAACATTAATCAAACACCATATGTAAGCTTCTGAAAACAATTCTGGATGACAGCTCAAAGATAAGACCAACAAGAGGACAGATTTGCGATATGGAAAGTTCAAGACTGATGACAAGGATGTGCATTCATAGATCAAATTATCAGAAACTGTTTCAAGTCTCTAATCTATGCCAATAGATCCAGAATTACCCTCTTGTGACTTCCCCATCCTTCATGCCCTTTACAAGTGCTGTCCCAAAAAGAAATTTTTAAAAAATTGGTTTGTCTCTTCTTTGGTTATAGTTTCAAACAGATCAGGAGCTGCCACAGTTGATGAAATGGGTGGAGAAATTCCCATGTGCCTGTCCTCGATGGCTATGGGGGAGCAAGGCTTTTATCTCAATATATGATCCTGACTACATGAAGGTGGTTCTGGCGAGATCAGGTGAGAGCAAATTCCACATCTGGGGTATAGTACGTATTTGTTCTTGATGATAAACTCTGAGTCAGTAAAATCCCAGGAGAGTGCAGTTTAATCATAAATAAGTAAATCTTTAATCATTAATAAACAAATTAAATAAAACTGTCTCCAAACTTGCAGCCCCAAAATCATTCCCGAGTTCTGAACATTCAAAACATGTCTTTGAGCCTGAGTTTCCTTTTCTTCTTTTCCTATATTTCTGTCACCACATTGAGACCCTTTATTATGTATATTGCCTCAGTTCTGAAAGATAAATTTCTACTTCACATTGTCATGGGCCTAGTAGCTCTCATTTTTGCCTGCTATGGTTCATGTTGCTTCTGTCATTTGCTGTCGAGTTGGAACCAATCCATATCTGACCTTCCATTGGGTTTTCAGAGCCAGCAAGTCATACTGGAGGAGATTTGCCCATCTTTCTCACACTGAGGAGATGGTGGCTTTGGACCATGTGCCTTTGAGATTGTAGGGCAGCTTCTTACCACAAGGCCACCAGAGCTGTGTGTCATACTTATGGAACAAATTCACCACTATTCAAGTTATTGAATAACCTCAAATCTTCAGTTGTGTTATATGGCATTGAGAACATAGGCTACAATATTAACCAATTAATCATCCTATTCCTGTGGGTTTCAGCTGAAGATCCACTGAGTCTGCCTTTCTAAACCCATACTGGATAGTAGGCAGGAGGTAGATGGGAGGTGTCCTGACATAGATTGTCAGCTGATATCCATCTAGAAATGAATGATGGCAATCAACAGTCTGGACCACAGCTAATTTCTGGGAACTGCCCTATTGGGTTCCCTTTACTATCATCTTAAAGCTCTTTATTATCTTTCAGATGTAAAGACTCATGAGCGCTACCGATTCCTAGTTCCCTGGATTGGTATGTATGTCTAAAGAAGGACTGCATTCAATTCATCATAAGCTTTACAAGGAACAATTTCTTTGGTTCACTGAGGACACTCATTCATTACTGTTATTATCTCCATCCCTGAATGAAGCCTCATTTCTCCTTCTGTACCATATTCTTATCTCATCTTCTCAGTGGTGAAAGTCCTTTCATAGTTCAGTTATTTCCATACCACTTTTCTGTTCACTCAGAATGTCATTGGTCCCTCAAACTCACTGCCATTCATTCAGTTGTGATTCCATTGGGTTTGTAAGACTGTGAATCACAATGCAAGGAGACTGTCCATCATTCTCCCCTGAAATGCCATGTTGTTGTTGTTGTCAGATGCCACCAGTCGAGTATGACTCGTATGACCCCATGAATAACGGATCTGAACCCTCTCCTATCCTGTGCCATCCTCATTGTCCCTGAAAAAATAGTTACTGAGTGCTATAGTCACCATGTCAATTCATCTTGCTGAGGGCCTTCCATAGGTAGTACTTATTTAAGAACTGTCCTCTATTTCTTATTTTCCAACTTTATCTCAGAGGGATCAGAATCATATTCTATGTAGCAGCCAAATTAAGAAATTTCTAGAATATCAATTTTCTAGAAATCTGACAGTCTTTCCAACCCTTTGCAGTGTGCTCCATGCTGGTTTTCTGGCCCCACCCACTCTTGGTTCTCCCCAGGTTGTGTCTGGCTATCTCTCTGATATTATCTCCCCACTGTCCATGCACACACCTATTTCTGGCCTAGGCTATGGCTTGATTCTATTGGAGGGACAGACGTGGTTCCAGCACCGACGTCTGCTGACTCCAGCCTTCCACTATGACATCTTGAAGCCCTATGTGAGACTCATGGCTGATTCTGTCCAAGTGATGCTGGTAAGTCTCTCACTCCCTCCCACTTACATGAATCCTCTCAAGATTCTCACATATATTCATATGCTCATATAATCTACTTTCAAACCTCAACTGTCCCAGGAACATTCATTAGACAAAGTCAGATGTAATGAGACTCGCAGAGCTACAGACATAAACATTCTCTCCTGCACATGCATGTATGGGTTTGAAATCAAGTCATAGATGATCCTTCAGAGGGTTTTTAGAGGCAGTATATATGACAGAAGGAGATTTCCCATCCTTTTCTCACAGAGCAAATGGTAGATTCAAACCATATGTCTTTAGGATCACAGCTTCTTACCACTAGGCCAACAGAGCTTTCTATCACATACTTAGACACACTTATGGGTCAGGACCCGCTTGAGTTCATAGACACTTACACGTGTTATCACCCCCTATGATGTGAGTCTCAAACATGTGTTTATTGCCACACAAGTGACAAGTACATGACAAATCTACTGGTGCACATGCACACATTTATACACATTCACATAGACACACAGGCATGCCCAACTACACAAACTGGAATATATGTCCAAATAATACAGGCTTTTCAGCTCTCAGTAAAAAGTTCTTCTTTCATATTGGAATGAATAAATTCCTTTTCTCATTGACTGAAATCTCATACAGCAAGTTCTCACTGCTGTGAAACCAGTTTTCCTCAAAATAGCATGAGACAGAGATACAACCATCACCTTGGATCCACATTTTTTTTTCATTACTCATGAAAAAGAAGGTTATAGTCTAACTTTGGTATCTTCAGTACCATGACCTAAAACCCCATCAATATTCCCCAAGACAAGCTGCATCTGGTTGACCTGGGAATTGCCAACTTCAAAGGCAGGAGTGAGAATAAAAGATACTTTTGAAATGTGCTCCTCTGGGTCCAGAGCTTCTGCATGCACATGAGCCACTCTGTGAAGCAAAATGTACACTTGCTTTTTATTCTCCCGACTTCCCATCAGAACTCTAATTTGTTACATGGATTGCTCTTTTAAAAACTGCTGAACAAGAAAAAATTTAAGTCCCTGATGCCCTTTCCTTGAAAGACAACATTTTGACCACTCAGGTTTCATCTTGCCTTGTGCACTGAAAATTTGGTATTAATTTTCCCTTTGCTCTACTTCAGATCTCTGATCCAATTAAATGTGATTTCCACCAAAAATTCTTCGTATGATTCTCAAAGTTATGAGAAGATGTATTTACACCTATAATAAAAGTATAATGCACAGCATGCTTATTGTGGCTTTGTTCACAATAGTAAAGAGTTAGAAACAACCTAAGTGCCCATCAACAAACGAATGCATAGAGAAACTCTGTTATATTCACACAATGGAATACTATGTTGCGTTGAAAAACAAGGAACTCATGAAATATTATACAAAATGGGTGATCCTGGAGGAAATTATGCTGAGTGAAGTATCTCAGTCACAAAAGGACAAATACCACATAGTGTCACTGTTGTAAAATGGAACAGACATCAGGCTTGAGGGGAGACTGAGAAAGATGGGATAAATTATGTATACTGCATTGAAATAGATGGAGAGAACAGTTTAAAAGGGATATGTGATTCGGTATTATCATGACAGGAGTCGAGAACGAAGGCTGCATTGTGGAGTGGACTTGGGGGGAGGGATTGTAAAACAATGAAAGAATTTTTCTTTTACTTTTCAAAGAGAAGAGTGAACTGGAGGGTAAGGGTGGGCAGGGAGAAAAGTGCAACAATGAATGGAAATTTAAAGTCTCTAAGTTTTTATTAAAATTAATAAAAGAAAAAATTAATACAAGTAAAAAAGTATATGATAAAATAGATGTAAGATAACAAACATTTACTTTACAATCTTAGTCTGTCACACTGTATATGTTTTAGAAAGTACAGAATATCCACAAGGCACCTGAGGAAACAGATAGAGGAGGCTAGTGTTATTGGCAGAGGTCTTTTGAGGGAATTTGATTAGATTTTACGTTCTCTTCCTGCCCAGGACAAGTGGGAGAAGCTAATAATCGAGGACCCATATCTGGAGCTCTTTGAACATGTCTCCTTGATGACTCTGGAAACCATCATGAAGTGTGCTTTCAGTCACAAGGGCAGCATTCAGTTGGACAAGTCAGTAATGGCTCTTCAGTCTCAGAATACTTGTTCTTAACAACCAGCAGGGCAGCATTTTAAATGTTCATCTCAATTCAAAGCAAGATTCTAGCCACAGACCCAGATTCATAGTTAGGAGCCTAAACGTTCATGCAATCTTAGTAACAGCTAAATACCATAAAGACTAAAAGATCAGAAAATATGGGAGCCTCAGTAGTGCTTGTCCTTGTTATTAGAAGATATCTCACCCAGACTCCCACTTCACCGCATAGACCTCTTTCTCATCTAGTTTCTTCTGCATCTTCTCCCTTCAGGAACTCCAATTCCTACGTCCATGCCATCAGGAACATGAACAACCTGGTCTTTTCCCGTGTGAGGAATGCCTTCTATCAGAATGATTTTATCTACAGACTAACTCCTGATGGTCGCTTAGCTCACCACTCCAGTCAGCTCTCCCATCAACACACAGGTACTGCCTCCTTTTCCCAGAAAAACTCCATTCTCCACCAAGAGTAACTCAAAGGACCCTGCCCTGACTCCTCTAACAGAGCCAAATTTCTAATCACCTCTTATGACTTTGTGTGGACATAGGGTGTGTACATCCCTGGGGCAGAAGATTGTTGTGGACCAAACACTGTGGCAGGTGTTTGTTTACATGTGTCATCATATTTGGTTAATAAGACACCCTCTTTTCCCACCCAATGAAACCAACTAGCAGAGACTACATGAACTCTAGTGGTGATTGGGTCTGCCCTGTAATCCAATGGTGCTAGAGCTCTCATCTCTCAATCCCATAGGCATACTAAGCCCTATCTGTTAGCCAGTCAGATTGGTGTTGATAACTGCTGGAGCCACAGGGGGTTGGTGTGACTAATATGGTCAGATTGCTCACTTCCCACTGCCAACTACTATCCTGGAACAGACCAAGTGATCAAACTGAGGAAGGCTCAACTTCAAGAGAATGGAGGGCTGGAAAATATCAAGAAGAAGAAGCACTTAGATTTTCTGGACATCCTCCTGAGTACAAACGTGAGTATAGATGGGGCTTAAGGCTTTTTCCAGTAGACCCAGACCTAGGGACATTCCTTACATTCTACTCGTGGTTTCTTCCAGACAGAGGATGGGAGCAACTTGTCTGACCAAGAACTTAGGGCTGAAGTGGATACGTTCATGTTTGCCGGCCACGACACTACAGCCAGTGGCATCTCCTGGACCCTCTATGCCCTGGCTCTGAATCCCAAACATCAGCAAAAGTGCCGAGAGGAAATCCAAAGCCTCCTGGAAGAAGGTGACTCCATCACTTGGTAAGTACTCAAAAGAGAGGAGGCCTAATGTTTCTGGGAAAGGATAAGTTCCTGGTCTGCACAAGACCTTCCCACTTCTCAGGACGGGCTCCTTCTCAGGGACCACCTGGGCCAGATGCCATATACCACCATGTGCATCAAAGAGGCTCTGCGACTCTACCCACCAGTGCCAGTTATAGGCAGAACACTCATCAAGCCTATCACCTTCCCTGATGGACGCTCCTTACCCAAAGGTATGAATTTCACTACATTCACTCACTTAACTTCCAAAAATTAAATTCACCACCACCACCACCACCACAATGTTGGTTGTTGTTACTAACATGATTGAGGTTGTTAACAATTTCAACTTACTGCCTTCCACAATCAAGACTCTTGGCACTAGCAGTCAGGAAATCAAAAGATGAATTGTATTAGAGAAGTGTGCTGCCAAAGACCTCTCCAAATTGCTAAAAAGTAATGATAACAGTCTATAACTAAGGTGAGCCTGATCCAGGCTGTAGTCTTCACAATTACTTGTTATGCATCAGAGAGCTAGACGATGACTAAGAATGATAAGAAGAATTAATGTCTTTGAGTTGTGGTGTTGGAGAAGAGTCTTGAACATACCATAGACTGCTGAGAAAATGAGGAAGTCTGTCTTGGAGAGGGTGAAACCAAGTTTCTCCTCAGAGACAAGGATTTTCAAGTTCTATCTCACAGAATTTGGGCACATTACCAGGAGGGACTGGTCACTGGAGAAGGACATCATGCTCAGAAAAATGGATAGTGCAGGAGAGGAAGATCCTGGATGAGATGGATTGACACAGTAATTGTAATAATGGAATTAAGTGTGTCAGAGTCAGTGAAATTGGCTCAGAGTAGGACAGGGTTCAGAACTATTATACATAGGGTTACTATCAGTCACAGGAGACCCAATAGCACATAACAACAGCAATAACCACCACCACCAGTTGCTGGCAAGTTGATCCAAACTCATAGTGATACCCTCGATGAGATGGATTGACTCAGTGACTGGGGTAATAGGGGTAGGTGTGACAGAGATGTTAAGTTGGCTCAAGAGAGAGCAGGGTTCAGAGATGTTGTACATAGGATTGCTATGAGTCGCAAGCAACTCAACGACACATAATATGTTCATAAGGTTTTTAGCTGCTGTTGTCTTGGAAGAGAGGATTGTCAGCTCTTTCATCCAAAACATCTGTGAGTAAACACAAACCTCTAACCTTCCAGTTAGTAACTGAACCCATTAACCATTTACTCCATCCACTGGCTCTAAGAACTATATATTCATGGTTAATAGATTGATGACTCAATCCACTGAAATATCCACATAAAACGTAGAAGCTTCAAAAGAGAATTAAGGAAGGGCGGAGGGAGACAAGATTATTTTTAGGGGTTTTTGCAAATGGGAAGCTCTGATGGCCTAGCTGATAAGGAGTTGTACTTCCAACTCTAAGCCAGGAAGTCCAGTTCTGTGAGTTTCCCTGCAGGAGAAAGAAGGGTAACCTCCCATGTAGTATCATCTAGAAACCTTCTGTAGGGTCAGCTGTATAACAACAGCAATGATATTTGACAAAGGAGGGAGATCAAGCTGTAGAGAGTCATGAGCCAGGTGGCACCCAGGCTGTGAGGAACCCTCAAGGTGATATCAGAGGGTGTCTGATGACCAGATGTGAAAACAGCACTAGAAGTGGCCAAAAGTCATCCACTGACTCACCTCCAACTGGGTTTGAATGACAGCCTTGCCACACCCTTGATATGTGGTCTTAGGGAAGTCATCAAGCCCCCATAAGCCTTAGATGTCTTGTTTGAAAAATTGTCTTTTCTCTGCTTCTAACCTCTCCACAGGAATCCAAATCGCACTGAACTTTTATGCCCTCCATCACAACCCGAAAGTATGGCTGAACCCAGAGGTATGAGGCCACGTGTTGAGAGGATGGATTGGTCTCTCCTCTCCCTCCTACTCCTGGGAGTCCTGGGCCTTTATGGGTTGGAAGGAGAGTTTTGAACCCTATGTGCTCTGGTTGTACTGATGTTCTCTTTTAGGTGTACGATCCTTTTCGGTTTGCACCAGGCTCTGCTCAGCATACCCATGCTTTCCTGCCCTTTTCAGGAGGATCAAGGTGAGGCATCCTGCAGCTATGATGGGGCCAGAGGTTGCTGGGTGCACTTCCTAATGCTGGTAATCTCTTATGTGTATAGATGACAGCCACAGCTTTACTGGTATGTGGTTTGTGGGAAAGGAGGTGTATGTAATTTGTGTCTGTCTCTATACAGAAAAAAAGGAAATAGCCAGGGCAAGCCACCAGGCTTTCTCAATCACAGTCAACCTACACCATGTGTGTGTTTTACGAAAGTTAGTGTCTACTGACGGTTTATTCACTTAAGGAATATGACTTTTCAGAATAGAATATCTTGGACATTTGAGTTTTCTAATGTTGTGCGATTTTCAGCTCTTGGAATTTTTAGAAGTCAATTTCTTTCTTCCCATTTCATCTCATTTGAGCCACTTCATTTCCTACTTAACTCATCAATCTGCCTCTCTAATGTATGAAACAAAAAAGTTTGCATGGCTTCAATGTCCAGATGCCTGGAATGTCTTAATTGTTCAAGCAATATACTTTAAGGCTATAGTTGCTCTTTGAAGAACTGTTAAAACCAATCTGAATCCAGACTATCCCAACATAAATTTTAAATGAACCTAAATGTTCACATTCCCATAACAGTTTTTGCAGTTGACAGTATTTTAGTATAAGAAGGAGTGGCATCCATTTCCTAAACAACATGCCTCTGGAAACTTTATGAACTTTGATAAATGTCAATAGCTGTAGAGGGGCTTCAGGCCTTTTGTTCATAGGGTTGCTATGAGTGGTGCATGACTCGAAGGCCATCAACAAACAACAACATAAAAGAGAAAGACTTTCAAGGAGATAAATGGACACAACGGTTACAACAATAAGAGTTAGCATAGGCAGCAAGGATTATGAGGATGGTACAGTATTGCACAGTGTTTCGTTCTGTCTAATCTTGTTGAATGAATCGTGGTTGATTTGATGGCACCTAATGGCAACAACGTACAACATGAATTAACCCATAGTTTACCTAGTTTAAAGCTGGGTAAGAGGAGGAAAAAAGGGGGGAGAAGCATAAAAATGAGAACAACATAAACTGTTCTAAAGAGAAAACACAATATTAAATACAGAATCTGGAATATGAGCTATTTGATTTGTAACATAAAATATACTTGTCTATGCAGTACATTCCAAAATGTTGCCATGGCAACCCTCAAAGGGTGCTGAAACCATTTTATGAAATATAAATTGCCATAACTGTGTGTTTAGCAGAGAAGGGTTATAATGAATCTTAATTCTGTCAGTTCTTCAATGATTTAGTCATATTGCAGAGATTTGACCTCAAGCATCTCTTCTGAAATGATTCTTCCTCCTAAACACAAGCTACAAACAACGTCACTGACTCTAGAAAGCCGTATACAGTCTTGAGTACTGAATTACTAGGTCATAATGAATATTGGAGGAGATCGGTTGGCCTAGTGGTAAGAAGCTGTACTGCAATCCCAAAGGCATGTGGTTTGAATCCACTAGCTGCTCTGTGGGAGAAGGACAGGCAATCCCCTCACATGAAATGTATTGCCTTTGAGAAGCTGCTGGAGGATCTGCCATGAGTTGATTCTAACTTAACAGCACATAGCAACAACAAATATTTTATCTTATTTCATTTCTTTCACTCAAGACAAACAGTTTGATCCAATTTTAAAAGTTAATTATCAGAGGGAAAAAAACCCAAATCACAAAAAATGTATTTATTAGGACATAATTTGTGTGATGCTTGGAAGGAGGAGTGGCATCCACTTCCATAATAGCTTGCCTCTTGAAACCCTATGAACCTGGAGAGAGGATGAAAGGCACCCAAGTGTCAAGGACTCTCCTTCATAGGGCTGCTATGAGTCGCCTGCAACTCGACGGCACTTAACAACAACAGCAACAACAAAATTTGTGTGATAAGTTCTATATTGGGAGATGTAAAACAGACATGAAAGGTACTCTATAGGACTCTAAGAGTTTCTAGTCCAGGCCCATAAATAACTTTGCATAAATACATGTAATTGATGCCATTTTTGTTCTTTGGGTCATTGATCATTTCATTAAATGCTTCCATGTTCCGGCACGGTCTTACCCACTGCACTGGAATATATGCTCAAAAGAAATACTCACGGTGTTTTAGAGGTTAGGAGAGGGGGAGAAACAGCTGGGAGATATTTGCTATTCATTGAAACTGAGCATTGAGGCCATTGAGGCAGAGGAAGATGGAGAACATTCTCAGTGATATCAAAAGATCCTCCTCTGCTAGGAAGTAGAGTCACACAGGTAAAGATGGGCAAGGCACCCTGTCATGTGGAATTTAAAATACCAAGGAAAGCATTTAAATACAGTACTCCATATAAGGGAATGGTAGGAAAGTCTGAGAAACATCAAAGCTGCAGTATAAAGGGAAATGGTGAGATTAGAAATGGTCAGGTAAGGAAAGAGAGATGTCAAGGAAAAGCATCTGTGGAGTGGATATGAAGGCTACAGGATTTAACTGAATAAGGGAATGGAGAAGGGGAACAGTGATCTGAACTGGAAGGGTGAGGTGCAACAGCAAAAGGAGAATCCTTCCAGCTCTCTGCATCCTCAGTATTCCTCCAAGAAGTTTCCTGTTTCCCCTTTGACCATCTCTCTCCAGAACATGCACATACAATATCATCACATCCTCTCCGAGTAGGTGGGTACCTATGCATCTCTCAAGAGGATGAGAACCTGAGAATGTGACTCCTCCCTCTGATGTGCTCAGAATGGTGACATCCATAATATTGAACCTAAAACTGTGCAGAGTGAACAAATGGTTATCATGTTAAGGTCATTTATTTAGGAAAAAGTGTGTTCAAGCACTAGCTCTCTCTTTACAAGTTAAAATGGTTCCTTAACACAGTTTTCTATGATCAGACATTTTCCTCCAAATATTTGTTTGCTCTTTTAACAAACATAGAGACCTTCTATGTGATGGGCAGATGCACCATAAGCAGAGAGGAGTTTTCCTTCTTGCATGAGCATTGAGGTATCTAGAGGGAGAGAGAAGATTGTGTCCTAACCACAAATATTCTGATAAGAATTTTCAGGCCTGTCCTTCTCAATAGGATCCCATGGCAGAACTTTAAGCATCCTTGAATAGAATGAATTAATTTCTCTCCTCTGTATCTGAAATAATCTACCTGAATTATGCTTAGAGTTAAGGAATTGTTCACTCAAATAATTTTCTGTAGAGCTTATTATCTCAAATAATCCAGCTAAGAAAGCTCTTATACCTTCACAATTGTACTTCTATCTTTTCTCATGTTCTTCTTTTTTGTTTAGAATGCTCATTTGTTATGCAGAACACCTACATTTTCTTTTCAAAGCCCAGATCAAGTACCATCTTCTTTGCCAAATGTATCTCCTCCCAACCTCTCTCATTGATGTTAATATACTTGTTAGCCTATTCAAAGCCCATGCCTTTTAACTTCTTGGTGACAAGAATCAGCACAGAATAAAAGTGATATGCATATATAATATGTTGATAAAAGGAGAAATGTTGCTGAGAACACAAGTAGGAGGAGAGTTAGGAGGCAGGTCTGTAAGAGTGGATTTGTTAAAAGTCAGGGAAGTGTGTGGCGAAAGCTTGCAATGAAAGACATGTATGACTTAGCCCTAGCAAAGGACTACAGTCTAGTCCCTTATCAAAGATGGCTCAGTGAGCAATGCATGCCCAACTTAGAACCAGGTCTGAGCTTATTTCCTCTTGGATGTACATCCCTGGTCCAGGAACTGCATTGGGAAGCAATTCGCTATGAATGAACTGAAGGTGGCTGTGGCTTTGACTCTTCTCCGCTTTGAGCTGTCACCAGACACTACTAGAGTCCCCATTCTGGTACCAAACACTGTGTTGATGTCCAAGAATGGGATTTACCTGCACATGAAGAAGCTCTTCTAATTCTGGTGAGAATCTTTTCTAACTAACAAAGATGAAGCTCGCCGTATCTATCTTACTCTGCCAAGTGCCCTGCCTTTCATCCTGCCTTTCTTCCGTTCCTGTCCCTTGCTGGCCTGTCCTCCTGCTTTCTCTTGTCCACCAACATGTCTCCCTTTCTCTGCTCTCACATTTCTCTTGGTTTCTTACCTGCCTTCATGTCTGCTTTTTGTAACAAATTTTTGTCTTTATATCTCTAAAGAGACATATGTCACCTCCCTGCCTTCCACAGCCTGTTTGTGGTTTGGCTTTTTTCTTTACTCTCGGGCCCCCCCCCCCGCAACGTCCCCCTTTCTATCTACTTGTGTGACCCTGTGAAAAGAGCTCTTACTTTACAATGGGGCTCTGTTCTAAAAACTCCTATAAGTCAGTTCTGATAAATTTCAACATAAATTGTATCCTTTGCTTCGGGATTCCCTCCTATGTTCTTTACTGTTGCTTTATTATTATAAATATCCTTAAAAAGATAATCTTTATTTGACTTTGGGAGTGGAAACATTATATATAAATTTACAGATATATCTGAAAGCAACATGTATAAATTAAAAAATACATAAATCATAAAAAAGTTAGATAACAATAACATTATTTATCAGTTATAGTAATATTTGTTATAACTATTTGTGAAAGGTTCTAGAGCATTTGGCTTGTACCTGAGAATGAAAATGGTGTTTCTAGTGAGAAAATTAGTAAGAGTTATATATTTGGTCTTTTTCATTTTTCTCCCTTTTCCAGTATTTTTTCAGTAACTCCAGTTACATCTCACTGCTTCCCAAATCTACTACTGAATTTAGCAGAGTGACCAGTGTTTTCAAGCAATTGAAGCCTCAATTTAATTTGGAAAACAAAATATGACAATGCTCTGAACAGTAAACCACAAAATTGAAAATTTGTTATTAATATCTAAGAATCATGGCATTAGAAAATTACAGTGTGGTAACTTTGTATACCCACACACAAATGGAGAGCTTTAAGTATGGTTTATTTGAACTCAGATAAGTTGGAAACTATCGTAGTAGCTTCTTAGTGTTGATTTAACAGGTTGCTACAGGCTTAAGATAACA